CGATTCATCGTTACGTCCCTAACATTCAGGCTTCACTGCTGTTCAGCGGACATTGAGCTCAGACCTGCGTGCAGCGGCAGCGCCGCGTGAACTCACATTGATCATAGCATTAGAGGTGATGCGGAACAGGGTGGCTCGCTCGTTAACTGCCTTCACTCTGTCTGTGTTGTCAGCAGATCCTCGCAGTTCCTCCAGTTCACTGAGCGAACGCTGCAGAGCGGCGCCGTGTTTTCCAATCAGCTCATTACAGGTGCTCAGGTCGTCCAGTTTACTGGCCAGACTCTTGAGCACCCCTTGGGTCAGGCCTCGGTCGTCCTGAGGTCCAGGACCTTCATCTCCCGAGTCATCTGCACACGGAGGAAAAGACACAGAACCGATTATTTGTCTCCGTCTAATGTATTCAACCGTGAACTTTGTCAAATAAAAATACAGATTTTTAAGTGTTTTTAGTTTGTAGCTCTTGGACATTAAACATTTTTAAAAATTAACATTTTAAACATTATATAAAAACATAAAAAATATATAGAAAAATATTGTTTACAGCATCTTTGAACCGATTGAAAATATATATTTTTTTATTAATTCAATTTTTTCGTCTTCTTCTTTTGTAAGTTGATTTCCCATAGGTGAGGGTGGGGGGGCACATATAGAGATGAAAACCATTCACACCCATTTTCACTTTAGAATAAATATTTTAACCGACTCCTGCAGGTTTTTAATGTGTCATGAAGCTGCAGTACCCATTGACTACCACCAGGGGCTGAACCCGTGGATCGTCTCGTAGCAGGCTAAGAAGACTAACCACTTTTCCACCATTTAGCCTGAACTTACTCAAAATTGTAAATACGTAGATTTGGAACCGATGAAAAGCAGCGTCTATATCTTTTAGTACTTTATTTTGAAGTTCCTGCACAGACCTGCAGGGTTAGAGAACTAATGAGCGACGGGGAGTCTGTGTGATCGGAAATTCTCATACATGCAGTTAATATTCACCACGTAAGCAGGAGGAAAACGTCCTTCATCCCACCCTGACTCCCCCCCCACACCCTCTCTCTCTGTGTTGGAAAGCTGTGAATGAAGACCGTTGCCCTGGAAACGTGGTCTTGTGCAATCAGGAGACAAGGCTATTTTTAGAAGAAGAGGGAGGAAATAAATAAAAAAATAAAGATGACGCACTACCCGATCCCTCCTCTCCTCCTCCTCTTCTCCTCTCTTCCTCTCACCCCTCACTGACATGAACTGAGACATCAGTTTCCTGGACCTCACGAACACCGGACTGGACAAGAAATTACTGACAAAAACAAAAAAACATCCTGATGTTTTTGTTCTTTTCAATTAGCCTCACATGAAGTCACTAAAAGAAAAAGTTGCCCCCCCCCCACCACCCCCCCCCCCCCCCCCCCGCCCACCTCAGCACCGCGGCTGTGCCACCATGAGACACTGCAGCTTCTTCCTACGACACATTCTCTCCAACATGAAACAGACTTTGAAAATAAAGTCTGAAGATGGAGTTACTTCTCTGAGTCACGGAAAGCCCCTGTATTAATGGAACAAAAAACAAAAAAAACAACAACAACAAAAAGCACTGCGTCTACCGTCACGTCATGGAGTAAAAGCCCGTTCCATTCTTTTGGAAGTTCTTTAACCAAATATGACACCACACGACCGCCGGCGTCATTTATCAGATTTGTGTGTGAAAACTCTGCCGACTGATTCCAGACAAACGAGAAATAAAATAACAACAAGGGCAAAAAAGGATGAACACAGTCTCAGGAGGAGATTAAAAAAAATACAGGATAAAAAAAAAATCCTTGACTGAGTTGAAATGGTTCCATGACCCACATACAGCAGAGAGATTATTGACGCTGTACATTTGTCACTGTGTGGATTCTCCCTTCACAGCCATGAAACCCAAAGAACACAGAACCCACAGTGACGTAGGAACAGAGGTGGCAGCGAGAAATGATTCTGGTCGAAAACTTTAACCATAACTGTTTAAAACATTTATATTTCCACAGATCTCATCAAATAATATTAAAGTACTGGAAGGATTTAACTGGATTGTAGTTGTTTCATCGATTATTTTGTTATGCTACTTATATTTCCACAGATCTCATCAAATAATGTTAAAGTACTGATTCATCGATTATTTTGTTATGCTACCGCTAACTTTTAGCTATTGCTAGGCTAATGTTTATGTACAGCTTAGAAAATCTAGCGCTGTAGTGGTTGGATTTTTGGAACACCTGAGGGATTAATAATCAATCAATTAATCAATCAATCAATCTATCTATAGTTTTAGGCTTTGATTCTTTACATAAATGTCTTTGATGTTTTTTTAGATGTCGATTAATTAAAAATGAATTGCGTCACCAGCTCTAACTGATTTGATGATCTGTGTATGAATTGTTTCGGTCCTTTGTTTGTTTTGTTTTTTTCTCACAGTGTAGAGATGAACCGGTGAGTCACGGCTGAATCACAGACACACACCCACAGGTGATGAACGGAGCTCCAGTGTGGACACAGTGAGCGGCAGTGGAGATGATTAAAAAAAGAAGAGTCTGATGAACTGTGAGCTGAAGAAGCAGTAACTGTCAGAGTGGAACCTGCTGAGATCTGACGGAGGCTGAACCTGAGCTGCAGTGAGTCAAGGTGGAAACACCACTGACACGACACGTATATGACACCTTTAATCACCGCTGTTCTGATGCCGTGTTGTCTCTGTGCTCGCTGTAAAGGACTCTAGAAAACCACAAACAGAGTGTGATGCCCAGACGTCCAGGTCTGAATGCTTTGTTTTAATTTAACGAAGTTGACTGGTCCAGGAAACTCACATCCTGAAGTGACTTATTCATATAAAACAATATACACCATATATTTATGTCCACAAGAGGGCGCCATATAAACTCATGTCAACTAGACACTGCCAACGCACCACTGAAATGTTGGTGAAATTAAAACAAAAAAGAAAATAAAACACAAATGGACTAAATGGTTAAAAATGTATTCTTGGATTATTCTGAAATTGGTGTTTATAAAATAATGCAATAAATCTTGACAGACTTTTTTTCCCAGAGTCGTGGTGGGAGTTTAGCTGCAACTAATCCCAGCAATCACTGGGGCCAGGGTGGGGTACAGCCAGCACAGTTCACCTGTTCATCGCAGCACCAATCAGAGTGTCATCTGCAAACACGATGATTCAGAGAGTCTCCGAACCTGACCTAAGGCTGTCAACCTGTCAATCACAGCCGAGTCATGATGTAACCCCAATGCTTCTGTGAACCCATCTGTCTCTCTCACTGCACAGTTAAACACCGTCTTTCTGTCCTTATACACGTCAGGAACCACACTCATGTACTTTTCTGCCTCATTATATCCCGTCCACGTCGGCTTTGAATCAATGACTTTATAGCTTAACATAAAACTTCTCACCACCGTCACACTCACCCACAATTCACTCCACTGAAAAAATATATTAAAGCTGAATCAAAGACAAAAAAAGTGCCATTTTTTAAAAAATCTCTTAATTAAGATTAAGATCAGCGCTAAATCATTTTCTTTAACGACTGTAGATTTTAATCACACATCCCACATTCATCACAGTCTCATTATGCCAGAAAATATTGATTTGCATTTTTGCACCATTTGTTCGTCATTTCCATTAACACATGCTCACACACACACTCCCCACCTTTTAAACCCAGACCTCTAACAGCTGTTTTCATAATAAAAAAAAAGAAAGAAAATCATTCTGTTTAAATGAGATGCAGAGGAAACAAGTCACAGATTATCACACCTGACTGAGAGCCACTGCTAAACGCTTCACTCCTGCCTCGAACTGAAACGGCAAATATTTACAACAGACTGAAGGATGTAATGACCGCGAAACTTACTGGAGTGGCCGAAACGTACGCAGACCGCAGGACGATAAACACGCACACACAATCAGACACAAAAGCACAACAGACACAGGTGATGGGTGTTACTTACAAGGTGACACTCACTGACAGAGCAGCACTCTTCTGCCTCTACTGTCCAAACGTGCAAAGTGAACAAAGACTTTTTTTTTTAAATAAAATTCACACATCCCTCCACTCCCTCTCTCCGCGACCCTCTCTCTTTATCTCTCTCCCGTCCCCTGCTCTCATCACTCTTTTACTCGGAGCGTCCAACCAGAACGGAAGAAGGCGGAGTCTAAGGGGAAGGTCATTTCATTCAGCCATCGCTGTCGTCATGCCGGAGGAGACAGAGCGGGAGGAAGGAGACGGGGTGGGAGGGACAGGTTGGGAGGGGGGAGGGAGGGCGTAGCTGCATGTGTTTGTGCAAGGAGAGAGAGGAGAAGGAGAGAGGGAGTAAGAGACACGGCGGGAGGGAGGGAGAGGAAGAGGGAAGAAGGCTGAAAAAACGTTTTAATAATTAAATTATATTATATTAATAGATTTTATTATGAGAGTACGTGATGGATCACTTAATATTATGAAAATTGAAAAAAAAAATTAGCATGACATTATTAAAATGACTCATCCTGTACTAAATGACCCACATTATCTCAGCTGACCACTTCCATCCCAAACATCTGGACCAACATTGCCCCCTTGTGGCTCAATACCAAAAGGGTAAATTCTTGTAAAAAAAATAAATAGAAAAAAAAAATTAGCATGACATTATTAAAATGACTCATCCTGTACTAAATGACCCACATTATCTCAGCTGACCACTTCCATCCCAAACATCTGGACCAATATTGCCCCCTTGTGGCTCAATACAAAAAGGGTAAATTCTTGTAAAAAAAAAAAAAAAAATTTTAAAAAAAGCATGTGGGTAAATAGGTCTTGGTTGCAGGAGCTTGCAGCACACTGCAGCTGGCGTGTCTGCCTCAGAGAGTCTCATGAGAAGCACATTCGTCCTGTCAAGGAGATATTCTGGGATATTTTGGGATGGAACATTTCACAGTCCACAGCTTTGCTTTAAAGGTGTTTTGATTTGTCATGGCATTTCAGTGAAGTACATGTTTCCTACCTGCTATTGAATACACTATGATAATGACAAAACACTGATGCTTATTTTTATACCTGAACCAAATGAAATGATTTGATGATTTGATAATTAAATGATATTTACATTCATGATAATTTCAGGGCAATTTATTTGTTGACTCTCCTTCTAACCATTCTAACCAACTCCTTCTATTTTTACTAATTTAAAGTCATTTTACAAAATGTAAGCAATTTTTTCTCAGCAATATTTCGAAACATTTTGAAATACTTTTTTTTTTTAAATATTTACTTTTTTGCAATGTTTTAGCTAACATTTAGCTATTACTGTAATGAAAGGTTTTGCTTTCTTGGTCCTACATTTTGTTAAGGTTAAGGAAAAATTTAAGCTAAACAATTTTGGCTACTTTATTTTACCTTAGCCCTTTAGGCTAATTAAGATGTACATTTTGATTTGTTTACCTTTTTTTTTACCCTATTTTCTACTGACCCCACCCCGGGGCCTGACAGGTCACTCAAAATGACAGTATGAAAATATTGTCCTCACCTGAGTGATGCATGAGCAGAGTAGCGTTGGTCTTGGCCTGCTGCAGGGCAGTTATCCAGCGCTGACACTCCGCCTCTGACATTGCCTTCAGGTGGTAGCTGCGGCCACCACTGGTCAGTACCAGGTGACACGTGTCGCCCACCTCGATGTGGGCTGTAGCCAGGGGAATGGTGCCCCGGCAAGTGTGTCCCATTTCTGCCTGAGTCCTGTGTGGAACCAGAACACACGTTTAGGAAATGGAGCAGCTCTGTTTCCAGGTGAAGTAGTTTATTTAAAAAAAACAAACAAACAAACAAAACCATCATAGATATTGGCTTAAAAAATACAGCTTAGAAAACACCTTATTTTAATACATAATCTGTGTGTAAGAGTATATATTTATATACCTATTACCGCGAATACGTTAGATATGTTAATTTAGCTAAACTTCAAAAAAGTAAATATTTACTAATATTAAAAAACAAAGTAAATTTAAAAAAAATAAATAAAAAAAAATAGTGACAAATGGCGAGTCATCTTAAGATCAGGAACAGATATTAGCTCGCCAAAATAAAAGGTACAATAACAATAACAATTAAAAAAAAAAAGAAAAGACGATAAACTGGCTAAATTAAAAAAAAAAATTAAAAAAATAGTGACAAATGCTCGCCAAAATAAAAGCTACAATAACAATAACAATTTTAAAAAAATGAAAAGACGATAAACTGGTTATTATTGAGTGATTGTAGTGGTTAGCTTAAGGCTGTTTTTTTTAAACATTAGCTACCTTAAAATCAATTAGAAATAAAACTAGCCAGATGGTAGAAAAATAGCCAAAAGTTGCTACCTTTTAGCTCACACGTAGCCAGTAGTTAATGTAACGATTCGCGCTGATGTAAATTCGAGATCATGAACACAGCGTTCCAGGAAAGAAAAATTAATAATGAAAAAACGGCTACAAATAGCATAACGCGGACACGCGCACACAACAAACAAACAATAACACGGCGCATATACGTAGATAATTCGCGTGAATTCGAGATATTTCTTAATGTAAAGCCACATAACGTACGTAAAAGTACAGCGGTTGAGTCTGACCTTCGACATGCCTGAACTAAATGACCAATTATTCATAATTTTAAGGTAATATATATATAAAAAATGTATTAAAAATTACGCTTTTATTGATGATAAACCTCTTAACTTGTGTGTAAAAATACGCTACGTAACAAAAGTGCGAAATGAATCATCAAACTATGAACGTCCAATCAATGGAACAGGGAGCGGAGCCCGGGTGGAGTCGCTCAGAGTTCCTGACAGGGAGTGGACCTACCTGTAATAGGACAGCAGGCCGTTACTGAGGACGAACCAGCGGCGCTGGTAACCCTTCAGGTAGTTGGTCCATTTGAAGAGCCAGCCTTTGTGCTGCTCCTGTAGGCACGGCAGCTGCAGACCAGCCAGGGTGGGCGACGGTAAACTCTTCACCAGCTCGTTCATGGTGACTTTGTCCACGGCTATGTGCGTGTGTGGAGATGCAGTGTGAGCGGATGCGGTGTCGCCTGTCAACAGCCGTGAGGTTTAGCGGTAGACGGTACACTGCAGCAGCAGCAGCAGCAGCAGCGGTGGTTCCTGTTGTGTCCGTGCAGTTTTTTCCTGTCCTGCGGCTGAGGCTACACCCTGACGGTGTTTCATAACAGTGATAACACACAGGACAGCCTGTGGATATCAGGGAGAGAGCGAGCATCATGATGAAGTCCCACCCACCAGAAGGCTAGCACCACGTCCTGTAGGTGAAGCTCTCGCTCTCGCTTCATCCAATGACGGCTCGCGGTTCCTAAGAGGACCGCGGAGGCACTGCAGTGTGGTCTTGAAAAAGTGTTCGCTAATTTTGACGGATATATGTTAAATAAAAACAAACATAAACTGAGCTGAAATAGCAGGATATACTAACATTAACATTATGTTAATACATTAACATGAATTGAGTGAGTCACACTAAACGTAGAATACATTTGATGTTAAAATGTTAATGACCAACGAGGCACTTTTTTATATATTTATATAGTGAGTAACCTAGCATTTCCATGTCGTAAAAACATGATGTTAATTTGGTAAATTACCATCCTATTTAGAGTAAAGTACATGCAAGCAAATACATCAAACGAGCTTTAAAGACCGTAAACTTCCTTTTACATATTTTAATTGTATATGTATAGTTTCCAATGATAAATAGAAATATATAATGTATTGATAAGTGAAGAAACAAGTTGGGAGTTGTTAGCGGGGTTAGCTTAGCATGTAGAAGACTAACTCTATAACCTGAACTACGGATTTGTTTAGGGTCAGTATAACATTTTTACATTTCTTTTAAAAGAGGATTTGATGTAAAATGTTCACAATTACGAGTAAACGCTCCCTCAGTCTGAAACACGCACTCATTAGTGGACATTGATGTCAGTGAAGTAGCACAGGAGACAAACTAGGGCAGGTTAAAGCTGGGGGGAAGACTGAAGGTAAGTCTGACGGTAGAACCAGTTCTGGTTACGAGGTAGAAACTGTTGCTGCACAAAAAAAAAAGACAGAAGAAGAAGTGGATACGAATCCTTTTATTTGCTTGCATCTCAAAACAACACATTAAAATGGTAAAAGTACAGACGACAGCTTAAATAAATACCATACTTATCATCATCATCATCATTAAAGGTTGTATACACGGTGTTCATCCACCAGGTGTCACAGAGGAGTGGCTGCCGTGAAATGTAATCTGGCTGTGTTTATATATAACCTTTAACAATTAGGTATTATAAAAATTATAAACATCACAAAGGAGAAGTTTTTTTCTTTATATTTTCTACTGGTTACACAGGAGATTCCACTTAAATAAATGCAGTGAAATATAATAAATGCAGTAAAGAAGCAAACAGCTAACAGTTGAGTATTCTCATTTGGCATCATCACAGTCAGAAGAGAAATCTTTAAATTGTACAATCATTTCTGCAAAAGTGCTTTGTGACAGTATGCCCCCAAAGAGATAAGGCTGCCCGTAGATTGTTGTACCATCTATTTCTTCTATCTCTATGGCACTACACCAGGATGTTTGACGTGGTCGTGAGTAGAACGTTGTTGTGACGTAATTCTTTTTTTTTTTTTTTACATTGCACTTTTTTTTAGTTTGAATACAAGGTAGCAAAGAATAGAAAACTATTTTACACAGCACGCCGCAACCTACACATTTAACCCCCCCACACCCGACCCCCCCCCCCGCACTGACGACAACGCCGCGCGACACTTTAGCTAAAACTGAAACAGCAGAACCGAACGTTTTGAGCCTGTCTGTACGTTCAGAGAGATTTTTTTCCGAGTACAGCAGTAAGGCAGTCAGCAACGGTTGATAAGATCCTAAAAATTGTCATGTTGAAAAAAACTTGCTACGAGAGAGAGTCGAGGTCCACTGTCTCCAAGGTCTGTGGTCACAGTGTGAAGTGCAGCAGCTTCCAGCGTCCTCCCTACGATGAAGTCTGCCTCTAACGCATACCCAGCTTCTCCGAGTCTTTTTTTTTCTCTCTGTATTTCTAAAGCAGGCCGTCTTGCTCAAACACGGATGGCAGGAGAGAAAAGTCAAAAGGGACAAACTTGATGCCGGTCCCGTGGTAGAACTTATTCTGGAACTCAACCCTGGAATTAAACAGAAAGTAAAAAAAAAAGAGTTTTTGGAAAATTCGGAAAATGGTGATAATAGCCTAAAGGTTGTAAGCCCGCTAGCCACATTAGCTTGACAAACAAACCAGCGGGGGGGTGGGGGGGGCACCAGTACAGCTTGGTAACTTTCTCTAATAACAATATCCTATACAGAAACCCAACAAATAATTTAGGTTGATGTTATTGGCTGAGTACCAGAAGTGTATACCATATGTAGGAAATGGGCCACACCCACACTTGCGGCGAAGGCTGGATCAGCAATTATTTCAGTCGACCTTCACCCACACTTGCGGCGAAGGCTGGATCGGCAATTATTTCAGTTACTAAAGAGTCGACCTCAGCAGTATGTTTATCTGGAAGCACGAACTTGCTAGCATTGCCATGCTAACAGTCCTTCTGCATACAGCATTTTTTTGCCTAACCATGCTTCCCTGTAGGGTGGTGCGCCCCACTCCTTGGGAACCACAATGATAGCCATACCGTAACTCTGTGCCCACTGTGCGGAAATTAATGCATTACAATGTAAATGCAATAATAATTGCAGTACTGAGACTCACCAGTGGAGGCGGAGAGCATGTAGAAACGCAGACAAACCTTCCATCACTAGTAAGATGGACACGGTGAGCAAAGCAAAGAGACCAAACACTGGGACCAAGAACACGACCCCTACTCTGGTGGTGATCCTCAGACCCAGACGCATCACCATGGTCCACAACACCTCGGAGAGTTCTGAAACCAAGGGACAACTCAGTGAAACCATCATCCATGCACAAGTAGGATCAATAAAAAAATGGACGCGGAGGCAGAAGAAGACGTGACTAGACTCACGGGCATGAGCCAAGCTGAGGGCCCAGAGACGCAGGTAGGACGCGGTGTTGGAAATGCAGCCCAGGCAGAACTCTATGGTGTGAATGGACTGGTGCAGGAGCTCATCAGCAAAATTAAACTGGAAGAAAAAACAATGTTACAGTTTCCACACATTAAACCAGCGGTCTCCAACCTACGTTTGTACCATGGACCGGTCGGCCGGTATCAGCCGTTACTGCGGACCAGTAATCAAATCAAACCTCTTTCAGATTTTTTTTCTGTTTCTAGTATCACAGTCTGAATGACCTTTGACCTGTTGTTTTGAAACCTTGACTGATTATCTTTGAGTGAAAACAGTAAAGGGACATGATATGGATTATTCTGGAATGAAGTACATTAGTAAAACTGAAGTACATTTTTGTCACTGTGTCCCACTGTGGCCTGGTATAAAATGACCTATGGACCAGCACTGGTCCCCGAGCCGGGGGTTGGACACCCCTGCAATGACAGTGACCTGTTAATGATCCTTGACTCTTTCTCGATGTCATATCTGGAACAGTTGGACTAACTCTCCCTCTGAACCGGAGCCACGTTCTGATGTGTGATGTCATATCTGGAACAGTTGGACTAAATCTCCCTCGGAACCGGACCACCCTGTAGGGAGTTGATGTAGTACCTGCTGCGGTGTAAAAATACCTCCGGGCAGGTTCACAGTTTGTGTCTGACCTCTTTGGGAAGACGTTCTCTGCTGGACATTCCATCAAGGCCCTCCTCTTCATCATCTTCATGAGACAGTGCAGCGGAGTTATCGTCTTCACTTGCATGTCTGACACGCTCGTAACCCTGAGGAGGGAAAACAACGCTCCATCAAAACGCTCCAAAACAAACTGCTGAGGTCGAGGACGGTTTGTAACACTAATCTTTTCTCTCTGCTGGACCTACCCTGCGTCGGCGCATGCCCTTGCCCCCACGATAGAGCCAGTACAGGTAGAGAGGTTTTCCTAACAGCAGCATGGGGGCTGAGAGCACGGCGATTATCACGAGGAAGATTTGCAGCCCGGTCTGTGGAGTCGTGTCAACAAACACCAAAAAAACAAAACAAAAAACAAACATATTCATTCACTTGGACCAAGGTAAAGACGGAGCGGACTGAGGTATTCACTGAGCACACGTGCCTGTCCTGGGAACAGAGGAGTGATGTCCTTCCCCTGCATGACGAACATATTGATGAAGTGGATGAGGATGCTGGGAGCCTGACTGGAGTCCCGGGCTCTGAATGCTAACCACTTGTAGATAATCATTAAGACCAGGTAACCGAAGAGACAGAGGAGGAAGAGCAGCTCGGGAAGAAACAACAGATACACGTTGTATTTCTGTCGGAAGTGTCTGAAGAGATGGAGGGAAAAAAGGACAACGTTTGTTCAAGAGAACATGATGATTACGGATGTCTGATATTAACTTTTTTGCCAATATCTGATATTGCTCACACACTTAATTCCCTATATAGAAATGTATTAATTATGAGCTGCAATGCTGCCATCTAGTGGTTTTCACGTTCATATACAGCGGGTTTTCCTGAAAAATATTTTCAGGGCACACATTGGTTTTCACTTTCATATACAGCGGGTTTTTCCCGCTTAAAGTTTTCACTTTCATATACAGCGGGTTTTCATCGTTTGGCACACATCGTTTGGCGAAACCCAGGCGTGTGTTATACGGTGTTCATTGTCGGAGGAAAAAACGATAACGATTCCTACAGATGTCGCATAATTATGCTAATATTAGGCTGATAAAATTGGCCGAAATTATTGGACATCTTTTATGTTGATGGATTCATTTTCCCAGATTATAAGAAAACAAGTGTCCTTTTAAACTGATGGATCTGATTCATGGTTGTCTTAAGATTTTCAGCGACGACAACAACAACGCAGAGACTCACAAGTGATTGAAGACACTCAGCACGACTCCAAAGGTCATGTGGATGACCCCGATTATAACGGACATCTTCATCTTGTATGAGTTGAGGAAGGACAAGCGGTTGACTGCCAGGTTCCATATCTGAGGTCATGAAAAAAAAGGGAAATGAACATTTTCACTGACAGCTCTGTGTAGTGGGATGTGAATTAAACTACGTTCACTCACAGGATCGATGCCGAATGGGTACGGTCCGCTGAAAACGCCGCTGACGTTTGGGTCTAAGGTGAGCAGGGCGTTGGTTTGGAGAGTTTTGTTTCTGTAATTCAAACACAGGTGTTTGTACATTTAAAAAGTTGGATTATATTTGGCTTTTTTGTTTCAATGTCCAGGTTTCATTACAACTGTACAGATCTGTTGTTGATATCAGCTGACGGAGATTTGATCGCAGACCCGTCAGCCGTCCTAAAGCCGACACTTCATCCTGTACCCGTCCCCTCAGCTGACGAGAAAACACGTTAAATCAATCCTGATTTATGCTCAGCGCTAGCAATGTCAACGTAGCCTTTCATCCTGCCTCTACTTTCGTAGAACCTTGCCCTGTACAACGCAAAGTTTCTCGGAACACCAAGAAGAAGACGGCAACAGAAGATTGACAGTAACCAGAGTGATTTGTCGTCTGTCCACATCTACAGCCTACGGCCACACCACCCTGGACACGCCCGGTCTCGTCTGATCTCAGAAGCTAACCAGGGTCTGTGAGCACTGGTGTCCTGGTGGAGAAGGAATGTTGCAGGTTTTTAATCCACACCCCACTGAGGATGGCACAGAAACCCTCACAGAAACTGACCTCAGCCCAAAAATGAACGTTGAACCCAACAGCGCCCCCTTGTGGATGTAGTTTTTTAACTGTCGCAAATGTAAGGCAATCATGGGAGTAGGTTGGCAGTGATTTTTTGAGCTACGTAACGGGTGCAGTAATGAGGTTAACGAGGTGGTGTGAGGACACAGCTGTGTTTTCACCAACAACCACGATGACGTCACATACTGTTATATAATGTTTTTACGATCCCAAGAATCTCTCTCTGTTTTTATTATCCCTCAGCTGAAGAGGTCACTGTCACAGACGTATACCCGCACACAAGGGCACAGAGGGTTGTCAAGGTGACCGCAAAAAAAAAAAAAAAAAAGTCCACGGTGATGGATGGTGAAACACTGCACCTGATCACATGACCGCACCTCAGATCATGAGCAGGTCTGACCGAGACGGAAGCTGCAGCCCTGGTGGCTCAATAGATGCTAATGTTGGCAAGCGCTAGCGCTACAGCAGTCTATGAATTGATTAATTGGCAAGCGCTAGCGCTACAGCAGTCTTTGATTGATTTTTTTTTTTAAATTAATTATTTCTGTGGGACGTTCAACACTGGTTGGTTTTAATGACCCATATGTGTCGCTAGTCCATTTTTGCAAGAGTAGCAAGGCTCTGAATACCTGTATAAATATAGCCACCAAGCTGACCCCTGCTGGCCAGCAGTGCAACTGCACCTCTAAGTGCATTTTCACGTCTTGAAGAAATGAGTCAGAGAGAAAATTCATCTTTTTATGTCCATGTTGACGATGTATAATGAAGCCTAACAAAAGCATTTGTAAACAGACTGTTGGACGTTGGACCAGATCCTTCCAGAAACATGTCTGTGAAACACGATAACTGGCATAGTGTGTGTGTGTGTGTGTGTGTGTGTGTGAGACCACTCACGTCCACTGCTGATTGGTGAACATGGCCTTCACGCTCCAGCCGGAGCCAAATATGTTGACAGACTTTGAGAAACAGTCGTTGTAAATGAGCCCCGTGTAGATGGAGAAGACGCCCATCATCAGGATGATGTAACGCCCACTGAAGAACATCGCCCAAATCTGGCAGCGACAAACAGAAGCAGAAATCAGACAGATAACCATTTTTGCAGCAGGTCCCGGAATGTTAAACCAGGAAAAGTAGCGATTCCGACCTCGTTAGTGGAGCGTTTCTTCATGTGTTTCTTCTCCGTCAGCACCATCCACAAGGCGAACAGACTCATGACCAGCCCGTGACCAAAGTCGCCAAACATTACAGCAAACAGGAATGGGAACGTGACGATGGTGTACGGAGCTGTCAGAGGGAAAAAACAGAAAAAACAAACCCTGGTCCGTCACATGTTTGGACTCGAGCAGACGAAGACGGACGGTGTCGTAAACAGAACCGGGTGGGCCGTCTTACCTGGGCTTACCTCGCGGTAGTCCCCCACCCCGTAGGCCTCCACGATGCTCTGGAAGCCGCAGGTAAACTTGTTGGTTCTTGACAGGGTCGGCGGAGTGTCAGTGCTGGGGATGCGGTTCACGAAGGACGGTACGGTCGCGTCACCTTTCCTCTGATGAAGAAAACGCAGAAAATTGTAGAGAGACATTACAAGCATTCCTCGACTTATGCCGGAATTCTGTTCCTATCGATTTTCGCAATAAATCGGAACTCACCTATGCTAACACAGTGGTGACATCATCTTATTAGTTGTTAAATTTACAGGAAATTGCGCAAAACCACAAGACGCCGTAGGTCAAAGACGTCGTAAAGCAACGACCTGCTCTAATCAGACCAGAAGGTCATTCCATTTTGGATTAATTAGTCCTAATCAGCTAATCAGAATTATCTGCTAATTATTCCGACCATTCCAGTTGTGGGTACTGACCGAGCCCTCTTCTAGCGCCCCCCGCAGGTTGGCCAGGTCACTGACGGGACACCACACTTCGGCGATCAGACACTTGTTGGTGACGTCGAAGCTGCAGAGGTTGAGGATGTGGTAGATGGCCTTCATCTTTTTCACCTGCACCACCCAGGAGTAGGCCGACTCGGCGGCTTTCTGCAGAACCTGCCTCAGGTAGTCCTCGGTGCGGTGCAGAACCTGGAGGACACAAAAAACACTTCTAACGTCCACTAAAATAAAACGCTTCTTCACTGCTTCCTGTCAGTCCTACGTTGTTGAGGTCCTGGATGCGCGTCTTCAGGCTGTCCAGCACATCCGCGCGCTCCTCGTCGTTCTCAGGGTGTGGGTAGAGGTGGCAGTGGTAACTGGGCAGATAAGACAAAATAAGACAAATGAGGCCGACGGTAATGAGAAAAACGGCATCTCAGAGGAGAAGCGGTGGAAGGAGAGCAACGCTCTTACCAGTCACAGATCTTCTGGACCTTCTGACCAATCTGATCTCCCCAGAAAGAGATGAGGAACACGACACTCTTGCTGATCTCACCCTGGACCACAGAGCAGACGCAGTATCGTCACAAAGTCAGGACACTGGGACTGGTGTTAATACGAATCACTGTGGATTTACTGCATCCTGTGATATATTTAAAATACTTCTCTCACGGTCGTAACACAACACCTTTGCTGCAGTGAATCTCTCATTGGGTGAGGACATTGGATGAGGACATTGGGTGAGGACAGGGGACACCCTGGAGACTTCATCAGTCAATCAATGAACCGTTCACATTATATTTACACCGACGGTCAATTTAAAATGAACTCCATGAAGACTTTTTTTCACCCCTCAAACCTCTTATCTTCTTGCTGTCAGGCATCTTCACTAACCACTCTTCCACTGTGTGGCCCAAGCTTCCATATACTTTTACGCTAATTTACCGTAACTGAATTCACTTTAGCTATTCCAGGAACAGCAGTAGCTGTAACAGCCCATGTTATACGAATTTTACTCTAATTGACCTTCATATCTTAATACACAGTTTACCGTGATACCTCAGGTCACGAACGTATTTCGCTCTTCGTTATCTCCGAACCAACTTTCCTCAGGTCACGAACGTATTTCGCTCTTCGTGATCTCCGAACCAACACAATCGATGTAAATCCAGTTAATCCGTTCTTTGGTCTAGATCACAGATTTAGCCTTTCCTTCGATCCATAACAAGAGATACATTTAATGAAATCACAAATAAAACAAAAAACCCCCAAAAAGTATCTGCACTGGTCAATCACGTACAACGTTAGAGTTATGCTAACCACTTGTTGTTCGGACTCTAGACGCCGAGAACTGGGATGCTGCTGGTGAGCAGTGTTTGTAGTTGCGATAATTCGTAGTACTCGCGCGTGTACGTGTTCGTGAATTGAAGTACCGTCCGTGAAACGAAGCAAAATAGTGTTCGTGGTCCGATTTGTTCGTGACCGGAGCGATCGTATCGTTCGTCATCTGACGTCACAGCTGCGTTTTTGGGTTTTTAGGTTTAACGAACTACAACGTTCCACTTTCCTTTTGATTCCATCCGATAAAAAATAAAGATCAGACTCACCGTGTCGAGGTCGGTGAGGTTCTCATCCACCTCTGCGTAGCTGAGGATGGTGTAGCCTTTACACACTCTCCACAACATGCGCTCGAACGCCTCCACCTTCACCCGCTGGATCAGCCCTGAAACAAACCTTCAGCCCGGACACATCGCGTTATTCTGGTGGCTCGGTCTGTCCGATAATGGAACTGTGACGTGTGACCAACTCCGGACGCTCACCCCAGCTTGGCTCCGAGTCTCTGCATCCCAGTGCAGCCCGTCACCGAGTCCGTCTCCATGGTGGGGAACTCTTCGTACTGAGGACCAAGAGCTTCATGCTGAGGGTGAGAAGGAACAGCTCAGTCACACCAGAGGGTGTCAAAGCCCTGGACCGTGGGCCACCTCTGGCCCGACAACAACCTACGTCTGTCTTCCGACTGGATATTATTTTAATAAACAAACAAACAAACAAAAAACCCAACTCTTTCAGAAATACCTGCAGATTTTGTTCGTGTTACACTGATGTGGAACTCTACTGAGAGGATGGTGGTTAAACATGGGGTCCATGGGCCAATAATGGCCCACCAGGATTCCAATCTGGCCTCTTTACTAAATTTCAAAAGTCAAAAAATGAACCCAGGATTCCAATCTGGCCTCTTTACTACATTTCAAAAGTCAAAAAATGAATTAAAACCCTTAATGTTCATGAAATGACATCTGTGATAAAGAGTCCTAATCTGACACCATTCTCAGCCAATCACAGCCTTAGTTCTTCATTCCAATTCCAGTTTGAACCTGTGGAGAAGATCTCCAGCTTCCTCCATGTTGGTCTGTCCACAGCAGACAAACAAGTCGCTCTGCAGTTAGCAAGAAAATATCATCACCGATTAATACCATCAGTGACCGGGCCCACCTGCAGGGGGCGATGTAACTTTGGTTTTTTTTTTGGATCCACCTGCAGGGGGCGATGTAACTTTGGTCAGCCTTGGGTTGTTTTTTGTTTGGATCAATCAAGGGTTAGTGCGGTTAGTGCTCTTGCCTTACAGCATGGAGATAACTGTTCGAAGCCCTGGTGGTAACTGGTGGTATTTATTTGTGTGCCCATGGTACAGAAACAGACAGGGACTGGACTGGTGAGCCATTTGTCCGACCCCGACCCATGACAGCTGGGACTGGAGTTCAAGTACCACCTGGGTGGAGGTGCACTCACCCTGGAGCGGCTGTGGATGAAGGTGCGTGTGATCCTCAGCATGTGCGTGTACTCGGTGAGCTCCAGCAGGTTCCTCTGCAGCTTCTCCTTGTTCTTGGCCACCTCGCTCAGCTCCATTTCCAGCCTCTGCAGCTGCTCCTGAACACCACACGCTCAGTTAGCTCACATTCAGCAATCCATAACATTGACTGGGCGACTGACAGCGGGCCATGGCCCTGAATGCACCACTTTAGAACCACCGACGTTACCGCGGTCACAAATGACAGCAGATGGAAACTGTTCATTTCTCCGAGTCACCGGTCGATGAATGTTAGTCGTTACGTCATCGACGTATCTCAGTAATCTGTGGCCGGTCAACCTGAAGACTACTGTATTATCCAGAGGCCGACGCCTGCGCTGCACGTTAGGCCGTACATAACAAATGACAAAGTCCAATACAAATTTTAAAAAAATCAACGTAAACCGTACTTCAAAGTTTCTACTCACACTCGTAATAAGTTGGAGTGTCAACGTCAGGAAGATCAAAATCAGTAAAAATAACATAAAGTAGAAATATATATGACCAAATATACGGTGACAAATACAGAAAGATAAAGTTTGAAAATATTGAAGCTAAGGAAATTAATACATTTAGACAAATTGTTGTTGTTAAACATAAGCTAAAAATGGAGCTAATGCTACATTTCCACTGTCCAATAGGGTTAGCAAAAAAATATTATATATTATATATATATAAAATATTTAAATATAATGAATATTTAAATATATGCCTGAAATCCAGTGGAGAAGCAGCTTAAAGTAGGACAACAACAGAAACCCACACAGAAAAAAACAAAACAACAAAAAATGACTAAACGGAACTAGTTTAAACATTCTTTAAAAAAATGAATAATTCCAGCCTGTAGACATTTATTGTTAGACCAGTTCTGCAGAGATGATTCTAGAATAACACGAAGTCACGCTAGTGACGCAGATGTCGGCTGTTTGTGCAAAGGTGAAGTGACACCAGACTAAAATATATTTACATTTTAATTACCTTTTCCTGTTGAAAAAACAGGTTGTCCAACAATGAGAACCTGTAAATATATGTACTGTACTGACTGGTACTACAGTAACTGTGTGTACACAGTAGGTAACGTGTTTTCAGGGTCATTCTCTGTGGTTATATTTATCCACTGACTCAAATATATTCAACTGTTGTTTTACAGGATAAAAATTATTCACTTTAAACATGAACGTCTGAGAATATGATTGATCGGTTACATGTGTGTAATTAGATGACCTCTGACCTCAGCTCGATGGTGCGGTCGCAGCTCAGGTGAAGTCCAACCTACCATAATTTCCAGGACCTGTCTGGGGGGAGGAGCCAGCGGACTCTCGTCCTCCTCGGGGACCAGGATCCGAGCTCTCTGGATTTCCCTCAGCAGGTAACCTGCGGCGGGAACACGTTGATCAACGATCCCGATCAATGGCTGCTCGTTACGCTGCCGATCGATCCTTCTGCTCTAGGTGAGCTGCATTCTTACCCAGAATTCTCTCCATCTCCTCGCACCTCTTGATTTCGCTGACAAAGCGCCGTTGGAATGAGCTGACGCTGGGGTTGAGCTGAAACCAGAGGAGCAGCACAGGCCGTTAGTGCAAATGAACGCACAGGAAACTGTTTCCATACACTCTAGAACCAGGGGTCTCAAACACCTGGCTCGCGGGCCACTTCAGGGCCGTTAACCCCTTCGAATCAGGCCCTCAACTAGATTCCGAAAATGAATAATTGAATAAATTAAATAAATGAATAATTTCTGGTTTCAATTGTTTAGTTTGCTCAATATTTGTACTTTTTTAATGCTGTTATATAATAAATATATATTTAGATATAGTTTAGAAACTGTGTTTTATATTAAAAAATGCCCAGTTATATAAATAATAATTATATATATATATATTTGATTTGTTTGTATGTGTATTTGTGGGGAAAAAAATTATTAATCAACCAAAACCTTTTACTGACGCCCCCTACAGTTCAAATGCAGTCTATTTACAGTACATTACAACAACTACTTTGCTACAAAAGTACTAATTATACATTTAGAGAAGTGTGAGTGTGAGTGTGAGTGTGTGTGTGTGTGTGTGTGTGTGTGTGTGTGTATACTCACGTCTCGGAACTCCACCAGTCCCAGTTCTCCCAGTTCACTGATGCAGTCATATTCAGAGCCGGACTGCAGGAACAGTTGCGCCAAACACACCTCCTCACTCCTGAACACCATCTTCATATACGTCTCACACACACACACACACACACACACACACAATCACAGAGCGCCCCCTCCCTGTCTGATGATCTGCCCCACCGCTGAGCCTCGGTTTAACACAAATGAAAATACGACATCACACAGTGACAGCGGCGGCCGCGCAGCTTTAAAGCCCTAAACCAATTAACCCCGCCTCTCTGGACTATTTATTCTCCATCATCATTAGCATTACTGTGTAGAACAGGGGGCCCGCGGGAGCCGCTGACGTCCTCCTCATCGTGTGTCCCGGTGTTCGGCCACTGCGCTGCATCTCCTCCGCGCCTCTTTTTTTTTTTTTTTATGTCTCCGGATAAAAACAAAGACAGAAAGAATTTTCCCTAACGAGCCGCCGCCGCCGCCGCCGCTGCCTGCACCGAGCCGCCGCAGCGACAGGCGTCATCCTCCGCACCTGCCATCGGCGGCACCATCGTTTTTCAGCACATTCGTCACAAACTTTAAGACCAGGGCGTAGCGGCCAACAGACACACGGAGACACAGACGGACCGAGCACGACCGTGACGTGGAGACAAAGGACGTTGCACACACTCTGACACACCAACGTTTAGAAAACACACACACACACAGAGAGAGAGGCTGCACGGCCTGGATGAGCGCTACGTCGCCCGGCAATTGACACGGATTTGCGTCTATTGGTTGCCAGATTTTTCGAATCCCTCGAAACTATTTATTTCGCAAAGTACGAAGACGGCGACGAACGTTGCTGCTTCCAAAACTAATGGCAATCACATCTAGTACCCTTGTCACTAACACTACTACTACTAGTAGTACTATTAGTACTTCTTCTGCTTCTCCTACCACTTTTACTAACAAGACTACGACCAATACTAATGCTATAACTACAAGTAGTCAAAGTGTTCACGAGCTACTTGTAGTTATAGCCTGATTTATGACTCCGTTCTCCGCCGCTTTAACGTGTCGGATTACCAAATCAGTCTGTAGAAGTGAGATTTAATCCAACCTTTTGCTTTTATAAAAATATAGTTACGGTTTGTTAAGCACCGAAAGATTCCATCAGCGACACACGAAACGAGATATATTAAAAAAGCGTGTCATACCACAAACCTGGCAACCAGCCAATCTCACAGTTCCGTTCCATCGCTGAAAGTAGACCGACCATCTGCTTCTATGAGGAACAAATCCTTCAGAAATATCATTTATAAATGCATTTTGGGGTTGTTTTTCTTTTTACACCATGTTATTTTAAGCGCTGACCAAAAGGTAGATTTAAAACAAACACATTGAACCCATTTCGATCGTTTTCACATTTGAAAACAAAACAAACAAAAAACTATTCGAGGATCGTTGAATTGTTAAAACTTTTTTATATATATATAAACAGCTTATGTTTCAAGGACATTCTGGGTCATTTTTTGTAACGTCATCCTTAGATTATTTTTGCTCTTTATATATATATATATATATATAAATTTTCCTCTACAACAGGGTCGATTTTTAAACTGACTTCCGGGACGTGGTTCTCTCGGTTCGTTCGGCGATTGTTGTTTCAGGATCATTATGGATGTGAAGAAAATGTGACGCAGATCGAATCCATTTATAAACCACACTATTGTTAAAGTTAAATCACACAAATCCACACACACATCAAGAATCGTGTTGGTAAAACAGAAGTTTTTATTATGCAACAAATTAATTTGTTCATTTTTTTTTCTTAAATATTACTGAAGGTTCATTTGTTCTTGTGTATTGACAAAACAAAAACCTGAACACCTCTGTTATGGAGGCTTAGGTTTCTAGATGTGTTAGTGTGTGTCAGGTCCTCAGGCTCTGGGCCAGTCTGTTGAGCTCCTGTGACAGAGCAGTGACCGTGTCCAGAATCTTCTGCCGGTCCGTCTCCTCTAACCGGGCCCCACACCTCTGAGCAAACTTGTCGGGATGCCACAGCGCCTGCTGTTTGCGCAGGATTTTCCGAAATACCGCCACATCCTTTCGGTCCACGCCGTGCAGCATCACGTCCACCATCTCCTGCACTGTACCTCTGGGGGCCGGCCAGGGGATGTCGCTGTAGCTCAGCAGTGAGCTGTCGGCCGAAGAACCGCCGTGGAAGGTCGCCGCGCACTTCTCGTCGTACGTGCGCTTCTTGCTCTGTCGAGTCTCGTCCTGTTTCCGCGCGGCTCTGGACAGATACTCCTCGTGTTCCCGCTGTAGCCTAGCATGTAGCTCCCTGTAGCTTTCCTCCTGGTGTTTCTTCCATTTGGCAGAGTCTGCCGCTAGCCTCTGGGCCTCAGCGTACTTTTTGTTATAATATTCTTTTCTCACGCGATCGGCCCAGTCTCCAAAGTCGTCGTCATCGTCGTCAACAGGAAGGAAGTCATCGTCTGTCGAACAGATAAAGCGGCATTTATTTACATTCATTTACGACGACACGAGCGCCGAATAAAACTCATCACGCATCACAAAACAAGTGTGGTGTCGATTTACCGTCGTATCGGCCAAAGGTTTGGTAGAACTCATTTTCACATTCACCGAACAGTTTCTCTTGCCACTCCTTCTCCACGTCGCGTTCAGGGGCCCGGAAAAACTGTGGCGTCTGTGAAAATAATAATAAAATGATTGTACAAATCAAACAATCTGGAACACAACATTATGAACCTTATTGTTGTTGAAAGATAAATTCAACTAACGGATTTCTTATCAAAATTATCTTCAAATACAAACTAATTAACTAAGACGAGAAACAATACATTTGTGTTTGCTGTTCAGTGAAAACGTGAGCAGCGGTGGTTCCATAGTGTCCTGGGTTCAATGACAAACCTGAGGAACAACATACTTAATGGCGCCTCCTGTGGCAGCCCTTGTGAATTGCAAAGACCCACACTGTAAATGTCCCCACTGTGGGACAAATAAGACACTTATTATTATTATTATTATTATTATTCATATTATTATTAGGAGAGGCTGTTACCATAAAAGTAAAAACAGTTTTCCTGCGATTCATATCCGTTTCCTGCTCCTGTTCTTTCCACAAGAACGGTTTTACAGGATCAGTGTTCAGTGGTGCTGACTGAACAGTTTCACAGAGAGAAAAAAAAGAGTTCATTCTGGATCATCAGTGTCACAGCAGCAGCCATTGATGTGAAATAAAGACTTTAAAGTTTCCATAACACAACAAAGGAAACGCATGAAAATGGACTGAACGTGGTCTTTAAAGGGCAACCCCCTTATGTTATGATGACCAGTGATGGTGACCTGACCAGTGATGGTCTTCTTCTATTTCTTTTGTGAAGGGTCTTTCCTAGCGGAAGACTTATTATTTTGTAGCAATACTGCCATCTTCAGTTCAACGTGTGTTCCACACCTCTATTGTCTCCACACATTTCTTACATGGTCTGTCAATTGTTATGAATCCTCTGAAATCTCTAGTCTGACGTCAGTTACCTGGAAATGGTTTCGTTTTTATCATAATCTCAACGACTTCTCTTAAAATATAATGTTACATTTATCATCGATCCCACAGGGAAGGTTACCCCCTAATATCTTATAATAATCTCATAATATACCGCGTAACGCTACAAAACCACGTTGTGTCTGTAACGTATTCAAGTTTTGTTTTGTTTTTTACCTCCTTTTCTCTCCAGAAACCCAGCAGATCTTGCGGCGTGACACCGGCGTTGTTGGGAGTCGTCTCGGCCTCCTGACAGCGCCTCCTGAGCGGCACGAATAGGTCGTCGTACGCTTAAAAAAAGAAAAAAAAAATTGATTTAATTTTAGAATCTTGAAATATAATAATATGACGCCAACTTCCGGGCCGTTCTTCCCACCTCCCGCCTTGTATTTCATGTGTCTTTTCACCGCTTCGTGCATTGCCGTTTCTCCCTTGCTGTCCCTCCGTAGAACATCGGCTCCGTGGTCCAACAGTAGCCGCAGAAGGTAGCCGTCTCCCAGGCGGCAGGCCAGATGCAGCGGGCTCCTCTGCTTCTTCCCCATCGAGAAATTGACATCCGTGTCCGGGTGTTTCTTCAGATAAGACTTCAGCTTCAGCGGGTTGCCCTCGTCCACGTACCTCCACACTCGCTTCTGTTTACTGGACACCATTCTGGACGTTAGTGGTTGCGGATGTACATTTGCTGTTATTAAAAAGGGCTTCCGGTCCGTCGTTTTAATGGCTCCGCCGCCAACGTCTCATATGCGAAAATTCCATACACAACAGGGCGCCGGATCTGTCACTAGATGTCAGTATTTAGCCTTTTCTGTTATTGACTGAAACTAATACAGCAGAAATCTCATTTAAATTGTTATTGTTAACGACAATTAACCCGTTAAAAGTGACGTTTTTTTAAACTCACAACATTCTGCAAAAACGTCCTACGTCACAGACCACGTCATAAAGGCAAAGTTACTACGTTTCAGAACGTGGTGCTCATTATTTTACAATTTTTACAATCGTTTTGTAAATAATAATTTATTATTCCACTTAATGAAGAAGAAATTTGTTCCATCCTTATTTGTAAATATCATAAAATATTTCTAATTCCACTCTGGTCTCAGTGTCACTTCACTACACTCAACAGGATAAACAATAATTTAATGATCAAAAGTGAAAAGTGACGTAGAATGATTCAGGCTTTTCTGTTGTTATAACTTGTCAACCTTAGGGACAAACTGTAAATTACAGACCTGATCAGAACAGAAAAATGACTCTGCTCTTCTGAAATACAAATGTAAAGCTTGTGTTTTCAGACTTGGAACTCTCTGTCCACCTTTCTCAGGACTGGACGCCCCCCACCCCCGACACCCCCCCCCCACCCCTCACTGCCCGGGTCGTTACGTCGTAGGCTCTCT